GGGGTCTGCATCTGATTGTGCTTGGTCGACAGTGAAACCCACCTCTGAGAATGAATTTTTGAGAAGTACAATGAAATTAGCCTTGTTCTTCTCATTGCCAAGAAATTTCTCTTGTGATAACGTCGGTACGGCGTTCTTATCGAATTGTACTTCTGTCGACTGATGTTTCTTCGTACGACGCAAACGGTGCCAAGACTTAGTTCCTGCGACATCGGGGTCTTCTGAGCAGCCGTCTCGCAAAGGCAACACTAATACGTAGATGTTCTTTTATCCCCACACGGTTATTATCTTTTTTATTATACCTGAATCACAATCTCCGTTTTAAACACTCAAATGCGTGCGAAAAAGGGCCTTTAAAACACACGTGCTTTAAAGTTGCTAAGTAACGATACTTCAAGTATGACTTTTTAAACTGCGTCATCTGGATGAAATAAAAAATCCTCTTAGGTCGCTTTCTGTAAATGCAGAACATTTCTTTGACTTTTGTACCTATCCTTTGGTTGAAGCTTTCACAAACGCGCGTAATTTAGGGTATGCTTCCAAATCTGTTCCACTTTTTAATCGCAGCATTGCTTTAAAGTTTTGAATGAATGCACCAAAATATAGAAGATTTAATACCTTTGACATTTCCTTCATATATGCCAGCATTATGGATGCATTTAATACTGTATTCGTAAGTAACTTCCTATTCATCCATGGAAACAACTTTTCATATTCTTTATAATAGGCTTTACTGGAGTTGGATTTTACACCTACCAACGTTTGTTTAGATTTTACAACAAGCGATTTAATGGACGGTGTATTATCTTTTTCAACGGAAATCGTTTAATTCACAAAGACGATGATTTTTATAAGCAAACGTCAAGCGACATTTCCATGGCAATCGTGAAATTACGAACACCCAGCCCACTTAATTAGACATGTATTCGAGTATAACGTCAATATGATTTCATTGAATTTCCTATTTTTAAATTATACTGCAGGTATAATAAAAAATACTATAAGATACACGTGTATAATGGGTCTTTAAAGCACTTGCAACGTTAAAGGCACTCCGCTTTGCGTCGTGCCCTTAAACTCGTTGCGCGTGCTTTAAAGACTTGATTATACACTTGTATCTTAATATACTATTATCCCTGCACAGTATTCTCGAAAATGAACACTCTGATTTTATGAATCTAGAGAATTAGTATTCGTTTCGTAGCGCTGTAAAATCTTAATTAATGAATAAAATTGAAAAACTTTGTAATAAAAAATATTCCTTGAAAACCCCTCTATAAAAATGATCTGAGGTTATTTTTTTGTAAAATGACCAGAAAAAAAGTTATAACGACCAGTTGAAATTTTTTTACAAAATGTTCATCAATTTTCATTTATAACTTTGTTACTTTTGGATATACGACTAAAAGTTACCGGACCAAAGTTGTAGAGAATTTTATTCTTATTCAAATATATGTCTGAATAAATTTTTTGTGAGACCAATAGTTTGTCAGATAAACCATAAAAACCATTTGCACCCCTTTTTTCAAGATGGCGGCCGCGGAACAAGGGCTGCGACCCCACAAACTTGGATTTAACTTTAAACTAACCCCCCCTTGATATCTAAAAAATAAAATTGTGTCCTCTGACAAACGCAATCCCAAATGTAACTTTTCAATGGACTAATTGGCCATTAGAGTCCGATTGCTCTTCTAGGGCAGGTAATCGCTTAATCGCCTCGCCCGGAATTCAAGAATGTAGAATATTACTATGTATTACATATTATATTATATATTACACCTTATTCCATATTTGTAAAAAAACGCGGAGGCTGAATCAAGAAAGAACCTGAGGTTACTCGTGGGAATACTTTTTGGGCACTGCAAACAAAACCATCTTGTAGAGGAAGTTACACGGACGATGAGACGGCACACCACATACTTTGTTGAATGCCTCGCTGTAGTCCAACTCAGACGATCCATGTTAAGGGTGTCCTGACCGGACATGGCTACGATGATTAGAGCCGCCTCCCCTTCCAGCATCCTTAGGTTCATCTCAGGTGTGGGATGACGTTGAGGGGTCGAACGACTCTAGCCAGATAGGTAGTACAAAGGGCCCGAATTTGAGGCGTAGGTACGCGTGGACCCTGTCTACCTTCCTATATCATCGTAATCCAGAATCAAGAATGGGTCACAAGAACTTGATATCATCAAACATACATTCATTTTATTTCGTTCGTGGCCGTAGACGTAGAGGAGAATCTACCTCTAGAGCGCACAGTCCGTGAATACACAACGTGGAGGCTGAGAGTCAAGATGACCACCAACATTTGTGTACGCGAGCTATGGGGTACCGTAAGACTATTTTCAAAAGTTTGAACGGCACAATTCAGTAAGCATCGAGCACAAATGATTGCCATTATTGCTTATCCCATATCTGTAAAAAACGTGGGGGCTAGGAGTCAAGTTGGCCCCCGAGATTTGAGTACAGGAACTACCATGTACCGGAAGACTATTTTCAAATATTTGACCGGCACAATCCAATATGCATCGAGCACAACTCGTTAAAGTATTATTGGAATTTGTACGTTAAAAACACCGGGGGGTTGAGAGTCAAATTGGCCCCCGAGAATTAAACGCAGGAACTACCCGTGTACCGTAAAACTATTGTCGAATATTTCAACGGCACAATCCAATATGCAGTGAGCACAATTGATTGGCCTTATTTAGATTTCCATATTTGTAAAAAACGTGGGGGCTGAGAGTCAAGTTGGCCGCCGAGATTTGAGTGCAGGAACTACCGTGTACCGGAAGACTATTTTCGAATATTTGGCCGGCACAATCCAATATGCGTCGAGCACAACTCGTTAAAGTAGCAATGGAATTTGTACGTTAAAAAAACCGGGGGGACTATATAAAAATGGTCATTACACATTTTTTTTTAATTGCGGGGGCTAACTTGATGGAGCTTAGAAATTGTACAATAATAAAATAGTTGACTACCTACTATACGCAGGGTGGTGACTTGCGTAACGCATCATAAAATTCATAACATGCGATTATTGGCTCCCCAAATTATTTTAGAGCAAAAATGTATTAAGGTTTTTTGTAGAAAAAATTTTTTTACGTCAATAAACCGTATTTGTTTTTAATTTTTTACATAATAAAGACGGAAAATTGGAAAAATAAAACCCGCATCTTTTTCAATAATCTGTGATGCCATGGAATGTCTGCTATAAAACAAATTAAATTCTATCAAAAAGTATCATGTTTAGAACAGCGAATTCAACATAATGAAAGACCAAATTACTAAAAAGGGTTTCCTAATACAATAATTTACAATAAATGTTCGAATAAGTCACCATTAACTGCAAGACGGTAACCAAGTCGATCATAAAATCCATTTCGAACTGCTGCTAATTGATAACTATATCTTTTTGTTTTAGAAAATACCATGGCATCGCAGATTATTGAAAAAGATGCAGGTTTTATTTTTTTGCTCTAAAATAATTTGGGGAGCCAATAATCGCATGTTATGAATTTTACATTGAAATCCCTATGATGCGTTACGCAAGTCGCCACCCTGTATATGCATCATAATATTCAGAATAAATGACGAATAGGTATTCTGTTAAGTTTATTCTCAGATAATCTGGGGTATTCTCATTTGCATATCCCTATATAGTATATCTGGCAAGGTATTATATTATAATGCATGTTCTATACCTTTTTTTTGCTTCCTATATGAATTGACTAAAAGCGAGTATACGACGGTAGTTTTAATGTACCCCCTCGTTAATTAATCACTGCCTCGCCTAATCACAATATTTTTGCATCCACGCCAATCAATTTCCCCAGCGTTCCACAGAAGCCCGGAATTATGACAGTTTCCCAATAAACTCAAATAAAACAACTCATAAAAACAGGCCTTCACAAGTTCAAGTTCAGGTTACAAATCACCTATTCCGTTTCCAATTCTCTAGTAAGTAAATTTTTAAGTTCATATACGAGGGAAGGCATTTGAATTTACTGCTACAATTTCATGCTCTCACACAAATTTAGTACTAAATAATACTATTCCCACATGGAAGTGTATCGTTCCAAGGGGCGCGAGGATACCAGGGAAAACGAATAAGCACCCTTTCCAAATTTTTTTAATACACAAACTTTACATATGGAACAGGAAATATGTCACCTTCAGGCTGAAAACAATACACCCTTTGTTCTCAAACTCGTATTGCCATTAGGCAATATTTAGATGTAACACGTTTGACCTTGAGAACGAAAAGGTCACCTTCAAATCTCTCTATTGCACCTTCAATTGTGTTCTATATTTCACCTTCAATTTTGCCCTCTATTTCACTTTCAATTTATTGTGCTACCTATTTCACCTTCAATTATGCCCCCTCTGAAAGCAGCGCACCGAACTCGCGCCTGTTTGACCTTCAGGGATTTTGAATGGACTTTACTATACGATTGAGAAATGCCTTCGACCTTGAAGTCAGCGAACAGAATTCGCGTTTACGTTTGACCTTTGTGACAGTGACCTTAACGCATGCGCATAAAAGTAGGTCAAAGTGTCCTGATACCGGTTTCGTTGGTTAGCGACCTTTGTTTCTATTGGCTAATGATCTATGTCAAATACGAAAAACGTTGCCAAGTTTTTTCAAAACAGAAGTGTAGCCCATACGGGACTGTAATAATTGTTTTAGTTTGGGGATTGATTTAGGCCACAAAAATGCACAGATCTCAGAATACAAGTATGCATTTCCACAAATTAATTACCTACTTACCCTAAAGTGCACTATTCTGGCAGTAATGCCGCTTAACAAGTCCAATTTTAAAATTACCACCCACAAAAAATCATTACACACCCTGTAAAGATATAAATTGTTAATCAATCATTAATTAATCTTGCTCTATAAACCAAAACTTCAGATCATAAGAGCCTGGTATATCCAGAGTCTGATCAACTCATCTGTTGACTTTTAAGTAGTAGAATTCTGAACAAAGAGCCACCAACACCAAGTAAATGTTTATTAAACGATACATAAAAAAACAATACAATACAATTCCACAAAATAATATCCACCAGCTTCCAGTGCAATTTCCCTCAGTATAATGGATTTGCAATGAGAGCTAGCTTTCGGAATGTACAAGTCAAACAAACCACTAGTTACAAACATTGAAATGAAACATTGTTCTAAATAAAACATAACATAATCCATATTGAAAACAAGTAATGAATAGTAAAATAATAAGTGTAGTGATGTGTCTTAATCCAAAGCCAGAAATTGAAAGAAAATGAACCAAAGTTAGAGAAACGATTCACCCATGCAAAAAATACCCTGTAAGATAATCACGAAAAAATAAAATAAATGGCGATAACTAAGATTAGTGTAGAGGTAACGATCAACCAGTACTTTTGGAAAAATGACTTCTCCTCCTTTTCGCTAACAACCTTCCTATCTTTTACCTTTTTCTTACCGTGGAATAACTTTTCGTATTTCTCCAACTCCCGCCGATTTTCCACTTCCTCCAACCTCCGCTTGTGCTCGGCTTCCAAATCTCTCAGTCTTTTCTCCTCCTTCTGTTTTAAAAAGCACGCGTCGTCGCAACTAACGACGGCCTTATTTGCGCGAACGAGTTCGCACGAGAATTCCCTTTTAATTCGTTTACAGTTACAGTAAATTTTAACTTTCTTCTGACAGAGTTCTGGATTAAGACATTCACCCGCATGGCAGTTAGCGCGGCACCGATGTCCGCACGGATACTAAAGACGACGTATAGGAAACAAATGACCGCAAAGTCTCACAAGCAGAAACTTACATTTTTCGGGCACTGATTTCCGCAACTTTCCAGCCCGGTTTTGTCGGTGGCCGATGTCCACTCGCTGCATACGACGTACGGTTGGTTTAGCCCACACAGGCACTTGACGCGAAGCATTTGTTTACACGGCGGGCAGTCTTCGGAGTGGCAGGGGTTGGGGCACTTATGTGTACAGCCTTCGGGTCTCTCCTTTTGGCATTCGTTTTCGCATGACAGACAATTGCTTCCCGCCTGCAACAGACGATCAGTTATGGTTTCGAGCAAGTGCCACTTGCCGATAAACCGTCACTCGCATTCTCCACAAGGTGACACGGTAAAAAGCACTTGTGATTGCTGCACTTTAAGACTCGTCCACAACTTCTTCCGCAACCACCCCCTCGGGCGGCGTAACACGGCCAATCGCTCGTTTCGTGCTCACCTAGAAATTTGCGTATTTACGGGGAAGGATAATAAAAACGCACCTGGGCAGGTAACCGAGACGGGCACAACGCAATCGGGACACGGCAGTGATTTACGCATCAAATGTGGGTTGGTCTGTTCCCAAGGCATCGCCCCTCTTTGGCCTTCCACCATAACCAGAACGCCGGAGTGGCACGGCGAAGGGCACTTGTGTGAGCAGAGCAGTGTTTTGTTACATATTTGCTCGCATGGCGGGCAGGAGTCGAAATGGCAGTTGTGTTTTTCGCGCTTTTCGTGGTGGCAGTTGGGCCGAATTCTAAGAGAAATAGACGATTGCAATCGAATTCGGAAACAATGGAACACAAAATACTCTTCTTGATATTCCTCTTTGAAAATGATTAACAACAGACATTGAAAGGAAAACTGCCGATTTCATATCATGTCAATCTCCTGACAATTTTTAAAGAACTCAATGTGAGTGATTTTACATTTTACTTCGCTTCATTTGAATTTGTATTTCGGTGTTTGTTTTTCCTTTTAGAATTGTTTGTATTTGCGTAATTCTTGTTTAAATATTATCGATTTTTAAATTATTCAATTTAAATAAGGTACATCTGGTCGCTTGCGATAAGGATTATCAGGCGAAAATTAATTAACGCACTGTTATATCGCTGTTAAGAGATGCAGTGTTTCAGTGTTGGAAAAAATTATATGGTATTATAAAATTGGCAAATTTTTATGTTTGTTTATAACTCACTGTCTCTATGGCATTGAATACATTTACCTACCTACCTTCATCGTTTCATTTGGTAAGATAAAACTAACATAAAAAATGACAAATAAACAAACACAAGAAAGGAGAAGAAAGCAGTGTTAACACTAGTACATACTTGCATGGTAGTGAGCACTTCGGAGGCCTTGTTCTTTTCTTCCTACCACACGGCACTGTCACAGAAGTGCCACGACAGCGACAGTACACAACATCAGTCAAATTGCAAGGGTAACATTCGCCCCTGTGACATACGGAAGAGCACTTGTGATTACCACACTTCAGTGTACGTCCGCAAGGCTTCTCGCACGGTGGGCAATTACCTTCGCAGCACTAAACAGAAAGTGGTAAAGTACTGTTAATTGTGGCGTCGTAAAATTACCGACCTTACGGTTACAGGGGTGTTTAAGGCAGTCTTTTAAATTTTTACATTTGGTTTCGCAGGTAAATACTTTCCGGCATTGAACTTCTTTGGCTTGTAGACCACAGCGACAGAATTTTTTCACGAACTCCAAGCACTGCGAATTGCCTCGGGTAAAACTGGCAGCGAAAGTTCGCAACTTACCATTCCGCATTTATCCTTGTGGCAGCGTTGGAAGCAAATGTGTATTCCGCATTCTAAAACTTTGCCACACGTATCACCGCATGTGGGAGTTTCCTTGGTACACTCGAGTACAAACGAGGACTTCCCACATGGGCACGTGCGGGTTTTGGACAGTGAGCAAGGTTCACATTTACCAATGTGGCACGCCTCCTCGCAGTTGTGATGGCCACATTCCAAGGGCTTGCCACAAACCTAGAAATTTGTTGCAATCACCCTGTACATTCCTAACGATGGGCGTTTCCCACTCGGAAAAGTGTACAACGTCTAAGAAAATGTTAGGAAATTTTTTTCTATATCTAACAGCATTCTGCAGGAAGCACTGGAACCCCTGTTGCCGTTGTAGTAAATGACAACTTTTGTGAATCAAAATTCATAATAAATTTTATGAATTTTAGAACGTATTAAAAAACGATTTGAAATTATTGGGTTATTTTCTAGAAATTAAAGAAAATAACTGAGATATTTTTGGAAAAAAACAAAATAGGCCCCGACTAGGGAAAATTTTATTTAAGATTTCGCGGGTATTAAATACGTTTCTTCAAAGATATCTCACTTATTTTTCAAAATATCGAAAAAACACAACAATAGGTTCTCAAAATTTGCGCTTCTTTATTTTTTTTCAGAACCCTAACAGAATAGAACTTACTACTTTACCTAGGTTCCTGGATATATTCTTTCTGATTTTTGTAGAAACATTTTCAAAATTTCTACTACAAGATGGTGTACCCCTAACCGGGTTCCGAAAAAAACTGAAATCGAATATATTTGGGTTAGTATCTGCAGATTTTTCAAAATGAAAATAATGAATCCAAAATTAATTTTTTGAAAATGCAAAAAAACCAACTGTAATTCTTGACTGGAAACACCGAAATCTCTGTTACTGTTGAAGTAAATGACAATTTTTGTGAACCAAAATTCATAATAAATTTTATGAATTTTAGAACGTATTAAAAAACGATTTGAAATTATTGGGAATTTTCTAGAAATTAAAAAAAATAAGCGGGATATTTTTGGAAAAAAACAAAATAGGCCCCGACTAGGGAAAATTTTGTTTAACATTTCGCGGGTAGCAAATACGTTTCTTCAAAGACATCTCACATATTTTTCAAAATATCGAAAACACAACAATAGATTCTCAAAATTTGCGCTTCTTTTTTTTTTCAGAACCCTAACAGAGTAGAACTTGCTACTTTACCTAGGTTCCTGGATATACTCTTTCTGATTTTTGTAGAAACATTTTCAAAATTTCTACTACAAGATGGTGTACCCCTAAATGGAGGTTCCGAAAAAAACTTAAATCGAATGTATTTGGGTTAGTATGTCCAGATTTTTCAAAATGAAAATAAGGAATCCAAAATCAATTTTTTTAAAATGCAAAAAATCCCAACTGTAATTCTTGACTGGAAACACTGAAAACTCTGTTACCGTTGAAGTAAATGACAATTTTTGTAAACCAAAATTCATAATAAATTTTATGAATTTTAGAACGTATTAAAAAACGATTTGAAATTATTGGGAATTTTCTAGAAATTAAAAAAAATAAGCGAGATATTTTTGGAAAAAAACAAAAGGCCCTGAATTTTGTTTAACATTTCGCGGATATCAAATACGTTTCTTCAAAGATATCTCACTTATTTTTCAAAATATCGAAAAAACAACAATAGATTCTCAAAATTTGCACTTCTTTTTTTTTCAGAACCCTAAAACAGAATAGAACTTGCTACTTTACCTAGGTTCCTGGATATACTCTTTGTGATTTTTGTAGAAACATTTTCAAAACTTCTACTACAAGATGCTGTACCCCTAAATGGGGGTTCCGAAAAAAACTGAAATCGACTGTATTTCAAAATGAAAATATTGAATCCAAAATTAATGTTTTGAAAATGCAAAAAATCCCAACTGTAATTCTTGACTGGAAACACCGAAAACTCTGTTACCGTTGAAGTAAATGACAATTTTTGTGAACCAAAATTCATAATAAATTTTATGAATTTTAGAACGTATTAAAAAACGATTTGAAATTATTGAGAATTTTCTAGAAATTAAAAAAAATAAGCGAGATATTTTCGGAAAAAAACAAAATAGGCCTCGCCTAGGGAAAATTTTGTTTAACATTTCGCGGGTATCAAATACGTTTCTTCAAAGATATCTCACTTATTTTTCAAAATATCGAAAAAACTACAATAGATTCTCAAAATTTGCGCTTCTTTTTTTTTTTTCAGAACCCTAACAGAATAGAACTTGCTACTTTACCTAGGTTCCTGGATATACTCTTTGTGATTTTTGTAGAAACATTTTCAAAACTTCTACTACAAGATGGTGTACCCCTAGATGGGGGTTCCGAAAAAAACTGAAATCGACTGTATTTGGGTAAGTATCTCCAAATTTTTCAAAATGAAAATATTGAATCCAAAATTAATTTTTTGAAAATGCAAAAAATCCCAACTGTAATTCTTGACTGGAAACACTGAAACCTCTGTTACCGTTGAAGTAAATGACAATAATTTGTGAACCAAAATTCTTAATAAATTTTATGAATTTTAAGGGTATCAAAAAACGATTTGAAATTCTAAGAAATTTTGAAAAATTATTGGAAATTTTCTAGAAATTAAAAAAAATAATTTCCAAAAAAGGAGGTTGTACACAGTTCCAAGAGGGGAGACACACCCCAAGTTATGACTTACAACATCACACTGCCACACAGGTGAGGCGCATTCGCGCAGCCTCGTTTTGGCACCACAAACACACTTCTGCAGGCTTTTCTTGGGACACGGTTGGCAGTCACCCTTATGACACATATCCCCGCATTTATGAATTTTACATTCGAGCAACTTATCGCAAACCGCCTTGCACGACCATTCCTTATTGTTACAGCGCCGAGTCTGGGGAGTCTGCCGGCCGCATAAGCAGCTCACCTTAACGTTCTGCGGGCACGGCATGCAAGGTCCGCGATGACAAAGCATGAGACATTTGTGACCGCATAACGGCTTCAAATCCCTGTGACAGACGTCCCCGCATGAATGCGGAATGAGCAAAGGCTGAAAGGGTGGGTTCTCCGCCTTTTGGCAGAAGCACAAATACTTCATCGGAATCTGGGACGGATCGTACTCGTACCGGCACTTCGGGCAATCCCAGATGATCTTCACGGTTTTTTTCATGAGGGCAGCATCCTCGAAGGATTGCTTCAGTTCGAACACCTTATTCTTCGACCACAGCTGAATGCAATTCAAGTGAAACTGGGAGAAGCAACCCTTGCAGTTCCAAACCTGCAAATTTGACTTCAGTTGTAATAAACGAGCACGTTAACTTACCGGATCAGAGCGTTTCACGGACGAAATGCAGATAGCGCATATAACGCCGCTCACATCAGTCACAAAACTGTGAGCCTCTAAATTTTCGGTTAGGCCACCACTCAATTTGTATTTTTCGAAAAGCTTGCCTGAAAGAATACGTTAGCTTAGGCGATTGGGGCGGATACTAACTTATAATGGAATTCGTTTGAAGCTCTTCTTCTTCTTCCGACGAAGAATCCCATTCTTTCACATGTTTTTGTACAGCCTGTTGCATTTTTGCCTGCACCTCTTTGAATTTCTGCTCAGATTTGTTCACATTTTTACCGTTAGTATCGAGGCTTGGGGGTTGATTTTTCCCCCAAGGATTCTGGGATTTCGCACCTTTCTTTCCACTCATTTTATCTCTAAAACCATGGATTTAGTAGGTAATTAATTTATAAAATATTTGCATTACATCTTACCATATTTCAACTTTTACCGTATGCACTTAACCTTACTTGTTGTGACCTTGAAATCCTCGGCTGTGTTACACGTAGCGCCTACGTGTCTGGAGACCACTGTTGCCAAGTTTAGAATTTCCAAGTGGTATGTTTCTTAAGATGTGAATGATATCCTATGGACCTTTAGTAAATCTAAAATCGGCGTTGCGAAGGTGTTATGAGTTTGTTACTCAATCGTTGATTGGAGAAATGAGTGATCTTTTTGCTCAAACAACAAACTGCTTTGCCATAAATCATATAAATCAAGTTTCTATATCGCCTATTCGTATATTCGTACCATAAATCAACGAGGGAACGAAGTTTTCGGATCGAATTTTAATCTACAGAGTAAAAAAAATTAAAAAATACGGTTGAACATTAGATCATATATTGTTAATAAGTATGATCAAAGGGTCGAACGAATATTTTAAACCGGAGCCCCAGTTTTAAAAAAAGCAAACTGCGGAGAATTGCCTTTAGAGAACCTACCTCAGGTCGATGTGAAAACGAATTTTCCTATTCGGATTTTAACCTGTAGAGTACAAAACAGATTACCCTCTGACAGGTATACAGTGTGTCAATTTTAAGTTTCAATGCGAATATGAATATCTCGCGAAAGAGAAGAATTGGAACAAGGCGGTTTGGAATAACTGTCATAGGAGTTGGGCTTGGGGGAAGTCTACGCACCTCTCACCCTAACTCACAAATTTGAAATAGCACCATCCCCTTTGTCATATCTCTCATTGATTAGTATCCATCTGGGCCGTCTAGCATATGAATCCAACATCTACGCTATATGTATGATGCAAGCTTAGAGAAATCCCCCGAAATATTGCATTTTTCCTTTGAATGTATTGTACATACCTTCCCCAAAATGCTTGAAATTTTCACAAATAAGTTTTCACATCACCAGTAGATATCTCTCTTCCAGACATTTCACTTGCCCTTTATGAGTACCTTCTTCCGACACCTCGTTTTCAAGGTATTCGCTTCGACTTCACCAATAGATATGCATTGTCCACACGAATCATATTGCCTTCAAATGTTGCCTCACACATGGAAATATTTCTTCCATACGTCTCAATGACGCTTTAATTGTAAGTACATCCACTCACGATAAGGAGTCGAGGAGGAGACGTATGGTTGGAAGAAATTAAATCATTTCATCGAAACCACTTTCATTAGAGTACCTACCATGAAAAATAAAACCAATATTAGGATCGCATGCGTTCATAAAAAATACAGCCGACAGTCGATTTTTAACCCGGCATTGGTCGCGCCTTGAAAAGTGACGCCGTTAGTGGCGCATAGAGACTTTATCTCATGCTCAATAAATGGAGTAAAAGGTGGTACTGTATTAAAAGAAACATTTACAATTTACAATTACATTTAGAATACAAAATAAAGTAAGTAACAAATAAAAAAGATTTCTATATGTCTTCTTCAGGAACTTCGACTGTTGGGCACCGAAGACATTGATGAGCAGTATGTTCAGGACAAATTGCTCTCTGGCATAAAATGCAATTTTTCTTTACTTTTCTATTTTTCCTCCTGGGGCAATAGTGACAATACTGAATCCCCTCAATTTTCTTGCACAACTCATTATTATAACACTAAATGGTTTCACTCCAACATGCAAATAAGTACTAACGTGATTAGTCGCACAATGAGAGAACCTCTCACAGGGCGCGCAAGCGCTAACACTAATGGCCCTTATAAACCAATTAAGCAATATTTTTAAATAATGAAGGTGCTTTCTTACTTTACAAAGATTGATTGAGGATATGAATAATGGGTATGAGTTTACCTGTGACATTAACAAATTTATTACAAGTTTTCTACATCTGTGAGAGAAAATCTCATAGCGCGACCAACCGCGGGTTAAGAATATCATAGTCTCTTCCTCTAAAATCCATTGAAAAAACATCCAACAAATTTTTCTAATCGGATTTTAGCTTGTAGAATGCAAAACGGATTACAGTCTGACGGGTATACAGAAAATACACATTTTTCTTACAGATTTTGGATCGGATTACGCGTATTGAAACCCCATCTAAAAAAGGAATGAACCTACCTCAAACTCTATGAGATAACGTTTTTTTCTGATCGGATTTTGGCCTGTGTATTACCTCTAACGTCGAGCAAAGAACGACGTACAGTAAATCAATGAGGAAGCGAATATTTCTGGTCGGATTTTGGCCTGTGGAGTACAAAACGGATTAAAAAATACGGGTATATAAAAAATACGGGCGAAAAAACAGACTTAAAAAAATGCAACATATTCCAAATCGATCGAGTAACAAATTTTCTGATAGATTTTGGGTATAGGAGTCAAAATAGATAAACAATTAATTACGGTACGGTTACATCAAAAGATACGATATAAAACCCGATTTAAAAAAACAGAGGGTGTACTGTTGGCTCTAAAATCGATCGCAAAACGAATTTATCTCAAAAATTATTTCTGATAGAGTTCAAAACTGATTCGATTTTGACTTACAGAGTTCAAAACAAAACGAAAAATTACGGTGGGTTAGTATTTATAGTAAAATATATCTCGAAAACCAACTTTAAGGAAAAGCACCAAAGCGATCAGGATCAGGTCTGATGGAATTTTGAGCTACAAAGAGATAAAAAATTATGGCCGAACAAACAAGAAAATCGACCGAAAACCCGATTTAAAAAAAAAGCAAATTGTTTGCACTCTAAAATCTATTGAAAAACTACCTACCCTAAAGGGACGAGAAAACAAACCTTTCTGAGTTTTCGTGCATTTGTTACAATAATAATACAATGTTATGCAAAACCGATTAAAAAAATTGAACATGTTCGAAGTCGATGTCGTAACAAATTTTTTCTATTTCGGTGTCACAATGATGATTTTCTGGATAGATTTTGACTAGCAGGGTTTATTACAGCTAAAAAATTACGAGCGGAGATTGATTTAAAAAAAGCAATAGTTGACACTAAATTCGATCGAAAAACAACCTAACTTAAATCAGTAAGAAAATAATGAATTTTTTATCGGATTTTGGTCTATGCCGTGCAAAAGATACAAAAATTACAATCAGAAAGCTACATAAAAATATAGAGGCAAAAAGGAGATTTTAAAAGAATGCGACATGTTCCAAGTCGATCGAGAACAAATTTTTTGTTATGGGTTTTGGCTAGCAGGGTTGCGGAAACTGATTACGATCGGATTACACAAAAAAAGATAAATCAGGAATTTCTATAAGCGGATAATTATTTTACATACATATTATATTTCTTTTTCTTGTTATATATTACCTACTAACTACTTTGTTCTGTACCTTATTGTTTTTTGTTGTTGCATTAAAGTGTAGAAAATATATTTCCGGAAGTTCTAGCCCTCTGCTTTACTTAATAACGTTATTAATTGGGATGATAGGATTTTATTATTCAGAATATGATTGACACTTATTAATATATTAAAAAAAATACAGAAGAAAAACAGATTTCAAAAAGCAACGCATATTCGACGTTGGTCTATATTAAGTCTATAGTAGTGATGTGGATTGTAAAATAACGATTTGTAAGTTACATAAAAAACGGTTATATTACGCGTAACAAGAGGTCGGTTTTTTTATGTAATTTATGTCTTTTATGAAACTTACGTAACTTACGTTTTTTATTTAAAAAACCGTAATTTTTGTAAATTTACGTAAATGTAATACCTATTTGATACATTTTGATCGGTACTACCACAGACCATCAACGGTACTACCAACGTAAACGATTCACCGTTGAATTTAGTTTGGTTTAATGAAGATGATACAGCCTCTAATTCGCGATCTGGAACTTCTTCCTCCAAACGACGCGTGATGGCGAAATACCTACTGCTTGGGTATTATATTTAATACACCAAAATATATAATTTAACAAGTGTTTTTATTTTCAAACACTCACAAAATTCAAAAAGGTTTATAGAATATTAAAAAAAAACATAAAAAACATAAATGACAGGTAATTTCACAAAAATATTTGTAAATTACGTAAAAAACATAAATTATTGGTAATTTTACACGTAATATTACGGTTTTTTTAAAAAAATGGTAAGTTACATAAATTACATAAAATACATAAAAAACATAAACAATTGGTAATTTTACACGTAATATTACGCACTTTAAAAAAAACATGTAATTTAACATCACTAAATTATTAACCAATTTTCCTGATAGATTTTGGTTAGTAGGGTTCAAAATGGGTAAAAAATTACTATGGGGTTACATAAAAGGATTCAATCGAAATCCAAAACCCAAACCCAAAAGCAGCGTATGTGCTGTTAGCTTTAAAATAGATCGGAAAACGAATTATGGCCCAAAACATTAGAAAGATTATAATCGGCAGCCTACATTATAAATACAGACGAAAAACATTTTGAAAAAAGCACGCCTTTAGCCAGGTTTCAGAACTAGCACTATAGATGAGTAAAATAGAAGAATCAAGGTACCTACATAATAAAAAAAAAAGTAGATAGATAATGAATATAGTGCTGAAAATTGTTGTAGTATCCACCTGTAATGAAGAAGTTAACACATACAGCATTGCTAAACCTTAAACATTTTATTTGAAAGTCTTAAATATGATATATTATTAAATACAGTAATGATACAGTACGTATTTTAATAAATTCCACATACACATCAAGTTTAAAAGTAAAAAACGTGTCAAAATATCAAACCTAACACAAACATTATGTTTAATAATTAATTAATGTATTTCCTTTTCTTTGCACATTTATATAAATCATTAATAGGTAATTATGCTATTATACAATCCTACAACGAACATCTATACATAAAACGAATTTGCACCACCACAGGTTGATCATTTCTTCAATAACCTACCGCATGAATGTTTCTTCATTTTTTTTAGATGAAATGAGAAGGGTGTTTCAACGATTTTATGTATTTGAAGACGGCTGCGAAATGAGAACAGGAAGAGGGGGATGATTTTAACGATGATTAAAGATGCTATTAATATGACGGAGTACTAAATGCAATAATAATTAAAAACTAACCATTTCTAATTCATTGTTTTGATTCCCCTTATTGGCGATTGCGGCGCGTAGCTGAAACACAATCATTGCACATTTATCATTTTAATTAACGCCAGAAATTATAATTTCATTAATATTATGTTACGTAATGGAATAATAATATACAATAATGGCAGTAATGCAGAACATTAATTAAGCTTCAAGCTAGAATAAGCGATTCTCTTTTTATTTTCTCCCTAAATGAATCCCTGTTGAGCACTATTCGCAAACGTTAATTAAAGCACAGAAACGTAATTAAGAGTACATGCAACTGGGCGAAAAGGCTTTCCAATTCGCAACATGCAGATATTTAAATTACAATAAAAAAGGGGTTGGCAGGTGCAAATGTAAGACTAAAGGCAAAGTGCGACGGGTAAATGTCAAAGTAAGGGTGCAACAATAAAAAGTTGTAATGCAAAAGCACTATTCTGTCGTTGCTACTATGCTCTGAAATAAAAAGTGTGGTCGGGAGGTCCACAAATACTCATGAACAAAACTAATCGATAAAACTTGGAGGGTGGAGTCATGATGTTAAACTGTCAGTTACCTTTGTACGACCGCAAAGTTAAAAATTGCGAGAGTTTGCTCATAAAAAAGTGAGGAAGTGAGTAATGTTGAAACCCCCTACAAAAATCTATCTTTCGAAACAAAAATAGTACAAAACTTAGGGGTAGGAATACAAACTAGTATAAAACTATGATGTGATCCGAAGAAAAAGGATGCGGCGTAAAGTTCAATTTCGACTAATAATATTCTGAGTACAGAGGGTGTTACGCTGGAACCCTCCAGAAGAATTTTTGAATTTCGTACAAAGCTTATTATATGAGGATACAGATTTTAACCCAAATCGAGTCATTTATACAAAAAAAAAACCCTCATTTAGCGACTGGATTTTCATAATCGGAGATTTTATTTGGGAAACATGAACCGGAATCACTTTAAAAGTCTTGACCTACATCACCACCTAAATCGGTCGAGGTTCTAGGGAACAGGTACCACAAAATTTAGCTGTAAAGATGGAGATTAGAAAAAGGAGATGCACAGCGAATGATAAATAGTTTGAAACTTGCTATTTAATATTTAAATTTGTATTTTGTATTCACGGGCCTTATCGTGTTCTGCGGGCCCATACCCGAATGTATACCAGCTACATTATGAACCCCCGATACCAAATAATAAAAAAAATAATAAACTTGCTTTGCTTGGTCTCAGCACCTACAGTAATGTTGGGTCATTTTAATTATTTTTAAAGCTTATCGTTAGTTTTTAGATTAAACGCAAATCTGATCACATTATTTGAATTCGAGATCAATTTTTGTTGTATCGAAGTTATTTAATGTTGTTAATTTTGTTTAAGTAATCGGTTTGTTTTAATTTGTTGTAAAGTTTGATTTACGTGTTAAAAGATTAAGTTTATTGTTTTTGTAAAAGTGATTAGTTTTAAGAGAAGCACGTTGTTGCAGAACAGTCAGTTTTGCCGGCTAGTTTTTTTGTAAAATAGTTCTGTCAGTTATTTGCGCGAAAGCCTGTTGAGGGCCCAGAACAAGATAAATTAAATAAATAATAAACAAAACATTATAATAATCATATAAACAAACAATATTTCATAAAAAAAAGGCAAACTGGTTAGGAATGGGGACAAAAAAATGTACTTTTTAAGAGAATTAAAGATGCACTACAAAAAAGAAATTTGTGTGCAATGCGTATACAAAACTAAAATAAGTAAGAGATGGATCAGAGGTAGAGATATAAACTAAAGAAGAAAAGCTGGGAAACAAAGAATAAAAAAAGTGAAACAAATTGGACGACATATGAACACGTTATTATATTGTGTAAACTAAATGGGAGTACCGTTTCTTTAGATTGAAACAACGCCGAAGATGAAAGAGAGACACCTTGTAGTGTAAAAATACGTGTTGTTAACGTAATCTGGAGATTTTGTAGCATTTATTTTTCTGTCAGATTTTTCTAATTTCCTTTGACCCGAAAGTTATTTCCGATTTTATATAAAATTTGAGTATTGATTTCATTGCGATTTACGGAATTTGATTGAGGCGTTCGAGTCTTTCAAGTTTATAAATAAGAGTTATAAGTTAGGATTTTCTGTTTGGGCCCTGAGAGAAAATTTTAAAAGAAAAAAAAACTAAATTGTGTAATTTGAGCTAGCTAGGTAAGTCTCTGTTGGGTGGTATACAATTGCACACAGCATTATTTATTTGGCGCCCAACGTGGGGCCACAGCAATATAAAAAATGTAAGAGAAAGAAAGAGAAAGACGAAAAATAATTATGATATTCAGCAGCTCTAAATCACTTTAGATTACATCATATGGCTGACACGTAAGCGTCGAAGAAAGACCGCAGATTGGGCATCTTTGGTGATGGGTCCATGTACAACGTTTACATAGCAACTGAATTTTGAGATTAAGCGGAATGGCTTATAGTTTTGCGGCGGATTGTCCACCTTTATCTAGGAAATCAGACACACGCACATACCGTCGTTCTAACTTATCCATGCGTTAACTGTTTTAAGCAAAGTTTGTTGGAAACATGCGGATTTCGTCAGAGAGGCATAAGCATGAACGTGCACGCTAATTGATCATTGATTTAGAACTAAAGGAGTAGTCCATGAAAGTAAAGAACCGCTATAAGAAAGCTCTCCAAAAGGTATCAAATACCTTAAAGTTGCCACATATTTCTTTAAGCACTCAGGAACTAAATGGCACCCCGCTTTAAAAGGACTCATTTACACTTGAATATATGGAAGTAAGCCATTTTCTCGACAGCTAACATTTTAAAGCAAAGAACAAATCTATAAGCGCTTTCAAGCCATGCCATGCAATAACAAATAGTATTTACCTTTTGTCGGTTTCACACCCTTGGGTTTACACTTTTTCGTAATCTGTCTATTTTGTTCGCAGGAGGGATCGCTGTTAGTCTTCAGCTTGTCGTTTCGCGTCATCTGGCTTTGGGCGTTACATTCTCCCCATGTTCCCTTTTCGTATCGACATGCTAAGGAAAATGAAGAACAAATTATTACGTTACGTGTACGGCAAGCTGCGTATTCCTTAATCTACATCCGCACTCCCTTTCTAATCGATTCCGAATTATCAACGGGTCAATTCGCGAGAACGTTACCGGTATAAATCCCGAAAATGTCGATTTTAAGTGCCGAAATGTGATTACGAAAAGAAAGCGCTCCGGTAAAACAAAACTTTTAGGTTTTAAATGTGAGGCATTTCGAAAAATGATAATTAGCCGCAATTTGAAGTGAATCATTAGACTAATCTGGAAGCATTTACGCCACATAACGACGCGCTAATCTGCGTTTACGGTCTGTTAATCGTCTTCTTAACTGAAATTATATATTTGGTACTTTATGTAATGACTCTGTTCGTCTTAATTTGACGATTTGAATTGAGTTTAAATTGATTGGGCCCAAGAGCGATTAAGTGCTCCGATTTTACACGAAATCATTAAATGCATCAGTAAAGACCTAATGAGCAAGAAAGTTTGATGCAAAATTAAGCACACAAAATACAAGAGTGGTAAAAGGTTACAGTGAAATTTCTTGAATTTATCCGTTATTCTTTAATAAAATAATTATAATCAGGAGTAATGTTTTAAATCAGGAATTCTGTAGCATACGTGAACGTTATTATAATGGAAATATAGAAAAATGTGCGTTTACTGGTTAGCTTCATATCCATTGAGAGTTTTCTTATACATTTTCCCAAAAAAGTTACTATCAAAAAGGTTAAAGATACAGTAGAAAAACTGAAAAAAAGGAAAGTGCATAAAACTCTTGCCTTTAAAATCGATCTAAAAACGAGACAAAAATATTTTCTAATGTATTGTCCCTTTGAACAGGAATCTAACATTCGACTGGGATGTGGAAAACTGGTAAAACAGAGATTTTGTGATCAACAACAGCGACGAAAATGGTGTGTGTTTCAAACGAAAAAAAGAAGAAAGGAAAGTTTACGTGCAGCGTTCTTAGAAGGATTAGTGGCCTTAAAGTGAGGGAAAGGACTGAACTTGAAATTTTAATCATTTCCTCATTTCCGCTTTTATGCATTTCATTAAATAAGAAAAACGCAATCTACACTACTGGAAATCTTTGACCGCGAATCTTAGCAATTCGAATTGCAGAAGGATGAAGCTTCGTAAGTGGGTGCACATGCATTGCTTTAGTCAAGCGAGAAAAGGAAAGTTTTTTTGCTGAAGTTGCAGAACGTAGTTAGCTTTTGGTGGTATGCGTTTGAATCGCAAATATAGGCAAATGTGTCCTTTATTTTTTCCTTTGTATTTACTGTAATTAGCATTACTTTCTTGTCAATTTGTTAAGAGTGTTTGAGTTACAAATTTGAATTTGCAAGTTCGTAAAATAAGTCAACAGTTGGACCGTATTTAGGGGTAGTTTTCTCATGTACGTTGAAGATTCATTGAGAATGTCACTTCAAGGATGTTTATAGGAATTCAGTTGCGGGTTAGGAAAATTTCTATACTTAGCTTAATTAATAAGTATATATCCTGTTGTAACGTCAGGGTTAGATTTATCATGTGTTACGGGAAGGTGGAATATTAGTACAGGGTGCTAATTCAATTTAGAGCATATTATAGTTTTTGATAGGTAGGTAGTTAAAGTGCAACTTTTCCACAAGTACCTATAGGTCACACCTCATTTAAGATTCTTGTACAGGGTGTTGATATGTTTTGGAGTATCTTGTAGATGTCGATTGGAAAAGTTCCACGTGGTAGCATTTTACATTTAACTTATAGAAGGGCGAGTTTGGATTCAAATACAATGTTGTTTTCGGTTTGTACGACAGCTTGGGCGTTTTGTTTGTCTAACGTGGGGTGTAAACTGCTTATTAAATTTGTTCTTGTGTTGCCATACTCTTTTATTAACTTGTAATTGATGATACCTTTGGTTGAAATGTAGCATAATTGGTTTTCGCGCCAAAATAAAAGGTCATCTTACCTCCCTGGTGTACCTGCCACTGCTGCGATTTAAAGAAATGGACAGAGTATATGTGAATGAGAATCATTCCTCCTGAGCTGTAGAAGCGTCTAAGTAAGTTTCTTGAATAGTTTTTCTCAAACCTGACCCCTCTGTTCGAAGAGCTTCAAATGGTCCTGATTGAGATCCATAAAATTAACCTTCGAGACTGCTTTGTTTCCTGCGATTCTCTATTTCAAACACTTAGATCAGGTCCGGCTCAACGAGTATTGCTCGAGCAAAATTCCTGTGTACTTTCCCCGTGGTGCTCCGTGTCACGATCCTCAGGAGGTTGACCAAACTGCAAGGAGGCTGGCAGAGTGGGTCCGTCATACGAGTCAAGTATGCCTTCAAAGGAGAATCCACAAGTATATTGCTCGAGCTGATGTAACACCCTGGTGGTGTGAAAGACTGGATGGGCTGAAAAGGTAGTGCGCACATTGAGGCGCCACTTTCAAAGAACTCCACCGAAGTCAGAGGCACAGTGGTGTGAGTACTATAAGTCAGCTTGCAAACGATACAATCTTAAAAGCAAGCTCCCATCGATCCTTGTTCCAATGTCCAGACGGTGATTGATACAATGTTTCCGAACAGCAATAGACGCGATTTTGAGTATCCTCTTTCCTGACGACACGACGATCCGGCAGAGGAAACTTCTCCACGCCGAAATGCCTTCCCGACCATTCACCTTGGAACCAGACAAGACTGTGCAGACTAGGCAAGATATCATTGCACAAGTGCCAAGAATCCCTAAAAACAAAGCTCCTGGATTAGACGAATTTCACGGAAAAGTACTAAGAACGTTGTTGGAGACTCTTTCAGTTTGATTTTCAAACTGTTACGGTAACTCCTATTACAATGTGTACCAAATTTGCTTCCAGTCGGTTCATTTGTTTGGCCGGAAATGAGAGTACAGACTGTGACCGACATCATCGAGATTTTGTTTGATTCGGATTCCTGGTGCTTCGAAGCTGTGTTTCCGGTGAAAAAATGGGGAGTCATTTATACCCCAATGCAATACCTCCTTACTAACGTGCGACCAGGGCTGGGTACTGCTCGCGAGCGTTCCGCCCGAAAAAACGCTCCAAGCGGAAAAAGCGTTTGCGGAGCGGCCGTTTGGTGCTCGATTCTGGAGCGTTTACTTAAAATGCTGATGGTTTTTCAGCTTATGAGCGATTTTTTCACTGGCGAGCTCTTTTTCCGATCGCGAGCTCTTTTTTCGTTCGCGAGTTTTTTTCGCTCCCGAGCGCTTTTTCCGCACCTGAGGGTTTTTTTCGCTCGTGAGCGCTTTTAACTGCTCTCAACCGCTGAAGGATTAAGCGCCGCCTGTTTTTTCGGCTCACGAGCACTTTTCCCGAGCGCTCGTGATAAACCGTGGAGTGCACGGAACTCGCAAGCGGTTTCGCTTTGAAAAACAACTCGATGCTCGCGAGCATTTTGAGAAAATTCGAGCGCTCGTCGTTCGAGCGGTTTTTTAGAACGCTTGACCCAGTTCTGCGTGCGACTGGTGAAAATCTCGGGGAAATTCAATATACAAGATTGAAGAGTCGACATTCAGAACTGAAGATTCAAAATACAAAATAAAAGTGGAAGGTAAGAACAAGACGGAGTGTCTATCGGATGGAGGAAATTATGAATATTTGGTGAATCCACAATACCGTATACCTTTGTGTAAACTACGTCATGTAGCCGTTTTTTATTGGCATCAGCACCTATAGTAATGATGGGTTACCCGGTATGAGTTAAATTTCAATTTATGAATGTGGTTGTAAATTTATATTAGATTGAACACAAATTCGATAATATTTGAATTGGAAGGCAATGTTGATTGGCTTAAGTTTGATTAAATCATTGCCTTGTATTTTGATTCCAGTTAGCTTACGTTAAGAAAGATTAGGGGCATTTAGAAGTAATTGTGTTAAGTGTTTTTTTAAAAGTTTATCTCACTTAAATCCGGTCTTGCGATAAGGGGTTCGTTATCGCTCCGTAATTTGAACGTGTTAATTTACCGAAGACGCGCAGTAACTTGGTACGAGTGAACGAAGGGGGGGGGGGCGCAGGCGGCCCTTTCGAAGTTTTGCTGGTAGCTGCAGGGAATTTGATGGGTGAACGTTGACAAAATGATAAAGTAGTATTAGTAGGATTAGTAGGGAATAATGTTTTCAAAACGAGACTTTTTGGTGAAAGACAGTCAGTCTTAGTGTTTGTAAAGTTTTCGTCGAAGAAAGTGTTCTAAGAAAACTGTTCTAGTTCGTGTTAAGCTCAAGCGTTGTACCTATCGAGCAGTAATCGCTTAAGTGAGGCCGTTCTTTAAGGATTTTTCAAAGACCCGATAATTAATTAATATTGGCTCTTTCATGGTGGAAAAACTCCTTTGGACTGATACTTGAAGACCTTAAAGAAAGCCTTCACATAAAAGATACCTGTTCAATAAGCAAAACACTCAGACTAATAAATTTCTTCTTAAACATCACTTTTTTTTACTTAAAACATTCTCTTTAGTCGGTGTCTCTTCGAGCACTCACCCAACATTATTTTACAAAACTTTACAACTGACAAGGCGGACTGTCTTGCAATAATACACTCAAATGTGGCAAAACTGCATCGTCGAATCACTAATATTTGTGTTTATGTGGGCGAAAAACAAGGCGATCATTTAAACAAAATTACTGAATGAAGCTGAACTGAAGTGAGATATTTTTTTTGTTTCAAACGTATATTAGAAAGCCCTACAATCTCACAGTGATTCAAATATCCCCACTAGCAAGGGTTGAAAGTTGAATTATTATGCATCCCCTTTGGTAAGGGTGCAGCGTAGGGGGATTTATACCACGATAAGTTCAAGATATTTTCTCATAAAACTCTTAATTATAGACATAAAATATACAATTTGGTTAAAACATCTACATACAAATTTTAGAATTATTAAAAATACAAGCAACTCTGATGCTTTATATCGTTTTTAATAAACATTTCACAAAAAAGTAGTGTAGAATTTTATAGTCTACAA